AATTTTTTCTTCAGGAAATGCTAAAGGATTTTTAAAAGAAGAGGTTCCTGGTGTAAAGAATTGTGGATATTTTTTTGGATTTTTATAATTTGGATCCTTTTCTAATCTTTTTTGCTTAGTTTTTGCTTTTTTTGTTAATATCCAAATATAATTATTTATATTATTTGTTAAAAATTTGGCTTCTTTAATTTTTTTAGTAGTATATCTAGTTAATAGAAATTTTTCATCTTTTTCTAAAACCCAGATATTATAGAGAACATCCAGTAAAGTTTTTTCATCTTTACTTTTTGTGTGAGAATCTTTTATTAAATCTTTACCGTGATTTGTTTTATCTCTTAATATAAATTTTCTTTTATCATTTTTGTTTAAAGTTTTTTTATATTCATCAACAATCTATGAAATTTGAGCATTTTCATTTCCACCAAAATTTCTTTATTGTTTTGTATTATCAATTATTCTTGTTGGTAAATAAATTTCATCTTCATTTTCATCTTCAGCAGGTCATTTTGGTTTTCTTAACAATGCTATTTTTTCTTCTCGTATTTTATGTAAATTTTCTATTATTCTAGGTTGCAAAAGATATTCTTTTTCGATTTCAGTATCAATTTGTATTTTCTAATCATTTTGTAAGCCTTCAACATTTGTCTCAATATTTATTGACACAACAAAATTATCGTATAATTTATTATTATAATTTTGTTTTCTTTTAGTTGTTAAATTATTAATATTTTTTTCTCCAGTAAGTAATGATTGATTTAATTTTAAAATATCATTTGCAAGTTCTGATTTATCATCAAGTTCGTTTAAATCTTGATAATTATTAATTAAAGCTGAAGTAATATCATATATTTCATCTTCAGTTTCACCTTGAATCATATCTAATTTCCATCTTCTATGAATATATAAATCTTTTAATTTTCGATTGTTTGTTAAAAATTCTTTATGAATCTCTCCAATTCTACTATTATAGTATCCTTTATCTTCTAGTTTACTTGAAACTTTTTTATTTTTTATATTATTTTTAAGCTCATCAAATATTTTATCTGTTAAAATTTGAATTCTTTGTTTTCTCAATACGTGAAGTTGATTTTTTTGCTCTGTTGTTAACAAAGAATCATTTGTTATCAAAATATCAAATAATTTTTCATCAAGTAAATTTGAAATAAATGCTTTGTTTTTAATGTCTGATTTATATTGCTTAAATTTTTTTTTGAATCTTGAATTTCTCATTTTTGGTTATTTCTAAATTCATATAATTTTCTTTTGTATTTATTATCAAAGTAATTAGCATCATCAATTTTATCTTTTCAAATATTTTCTAATCATACTGAATCTTTTTCTTTAATTATTCCATTTTTGATCAAATCATATTCTTGTTTTTGATTAATTTTAAAAATTTTATCATTTATACTTTTTAATAAAACTGATTTTTGCATGTCCGTTAAAACTTTATTATTATTGATAGTATCGAATAAATTATTCAAAGTTGTAATAACTTCTGTTTTATCTTTTAATTCATTATAATAACTCTTTTGTTCAAAATGTAATTTATCCAATCTTGATATTCTTAATTTTTGCAGATCATTAATTAAATTTGTTGATAATTTTGAATTATTTATTTTTTGATCCAAATTTTCATTATCAATCAATTTTATTGCATCGGGTCTTTGGGTTTCTTCGATTTCTTTTTTTAATTGATTATATTCAAGCCAAAAATTTTTATTTACAAAAGGTCGATCATCTTTTTGTTCTTCTTCTGGTTTTTCTGCTTCTGCTTCTTCTTGTTG